TCTCTTCCTGTCACTCTAACTTTCAAATAAATAGAATAATAACTGAACATGAACAAAAGAAAATAGTCTTGAAAACAAGGTAACCGAATAGTTTTCTCATAGTTCTAAAGGATAAGAATTCTTTTCTGTCAAACTCCATGGGTTCCTTGGTAAGAAGAGGAGCAACAGGATGAGAAATCAACCGGAATTGACATTCTCTTGTCTGGCACCAGAATCTGGCTTTCCTTTCCCCTTCCAGTGGCATCCAGACAGATAAAAAATGTGAGGCACTCATGACCACTTGTCAGGGATTCCCGTGCCTGGGGTCAGGTGCAGTGACGTTGGGTCCCAGCAGCTGCCGTTGCTACAGCTGTTGGCCATCAGCCCTGGCAGAGGCTATTTCAGGTTCTATGGAGTGTTCTTTGCTCTGCTTGCAAAGCTTCAAGAAATGCTTTGAACTATTTAAGTACCAAAAGGCCCTAGAGCCACCGTTCCTGGGGGTCAGCCTTCTGTTAGCCTCAGCGAGGGAGGGGCTTCCTCTCTTGGGGAGACTGTCCCTGACCCTGGGCCATGGCTTTGGGGAAAACAGAGCCAGAAACATCCCTTCTCCCAGTTGAAACTCTTGGGGAAGATTTTCTGCCTGATTTTCTAGTCTTTTCAGCTAAGCGTGTCTAGCACCAACTCTTTCCTTGCAATGTGGGTAGGGAGGCAGTGTCTCAGTAGTTGAGGAATAATAATACAAGTTGTGTATCTAGAATCCAGAGTGCTTGGGATAAGAATTTGGAATATGGATGTTTTTGGATTTTGAAGCATTTGCATTTATATATAATGAAATATCTTGGGGGAGGAGACCCAGGTCTAAACATGAAAATTATTTATGCTTCATACACACAGTTTGAAGGTAATTTCATAAAATATTTTGGATAATTTTGTGCTCGAGACAAAGTTTGTGGTGTAGAATTTTTCCACTGTGTTCATGTGAGTGCTGGAGAAGTTTTGGATTTTGGAGCATCGTGGCTTCTTCAGAGTTTTGGATTGGAGATACTCGGTGTGTAGTAGCTAACATTGATGACCACTCACTTTGTGCCTGGCATTGCGCTAAGTCACTTCAATATTGCTGCCTTTATGCCCACAATAGCCCTGCATGGTCAGTACAGCTATTACTACTGTGGTGTAGTGTACTGCCCTCAGGCCGCTGTGAGCCCCCAGCCACCTTCTCATCCACACAGGCCTGGGCACATCCTCTGCTTTCTCGCCAGCAAAATTTCTCAGATGATTCCCATTTTAATATGTTCACGTGTGGGTGTTTACAGAGTCAAAGGAACAGCCCTGTTGAATTCTTCTCCTTTTTTCCCACTCACTACCCCCACCCCCGCTGCAGATTCGAGGTACTGTTCTAGGTGATCCTGCATCCAGATTTCAGATCTGATCTTCATGTCATGCCCCACGGACTGAGGCTCTCTCCTAGAAACTGTACCATTCTCTTTTATGGCCTAAAGAACAAATGTACTTCCAGGGTGACCAAAAGATAGGCTGGGCTGGAGAACTGGCCAGAACCATATGCACTGAATTGTTTAGTGTAAGAAGAGCCTTGCAGAGTCCATTATTCATTTATCTCGCAGGCGTCCCCGGGCAGCAGCTGACAAACGCAAAACGATGCTCAGCACCTTAGCAGCCGGTGGGTCCGGGACCCTCGTGCAGTCTGGCAGCCCCCTCCTCTGTTCTCCCTTCTACTCTGCCCACCCCCAAGCCTGCTCTCGGCAAACATATGGGAGCCATTTGGGCTTAGTCCTTTCTTCTCGATGTCCAAGTCATGTCGACAATGGGGGATTTACAACTGCCCCAAATGGAGTGTTTTGTTTTCTTATGGATTATTCCAAGTTTGGGGTCTGTTAAAAGTTTTGTAACTACATAAATATTTATCCAGCGTTTTTGGTTACTATATAAACATAACAAACATGACATTGGACCCAAATGCCGTAAGTCACATAAAAGCCCTCCAATTTGGAGAGGGGTAAACTAATAAAGGGCTTAGGACTGATTATTTTTATCATGAAATATTTTTACTGCTATTTTTATGCTGGGTTTTAAAAATACCAAAATATGTTCTCTCTATATAACTATTCAGACCTCACTCGCTGTCCATTGGCCAGCTTGCCCAGGCACGCTCCCAGGGCGCAGACGTGGCCGAGAATGCGTGCAGGGCAACACAAGGCTTCCCTTTTATGAACACACACAGGCTAACAGCTGGAAGTCTAGGTGGAAAGCGCTCCTCTGGGCTTTGTCACCTTTGAAGGCAAGAGGTATTACTTTCTGTTCAAATGACGTGTTTGCCTTTGCTACTAGGCTCTGGTTGACACTTCCAGATGCTAGATAGAGAGAGTGCCCCAGATATTAATTATCAAGGACAGGCACGAAAGTACGGGGACCTGGGAAAGCACGCGTTGTTAATGAAAAACAAAAGATGATATATTATTGTGCATTCTTTTCTGAACTCCTGTTTGCTGTGAAAATAACTCACCCTACCAATGTGTGTGTATGTTTGAAGTTCGTGTTCTTCAGAGCTATTGAGTCATCCTCTTTCTACTTAAGGAGACACACACGTAACCTTGGTCTTGGGAAGCGGTTGCTTGCGGAACTCCCCACTCCTCTGTGGAAAGGAGTTGTCCAGGGGGAGGGCCGCTGTGTGGATTCGGCCCTGCTTCCTCAGCTCTGGCCAGAATCCATCTCCCACATCTTTCCCCAGCTCCCTGTCACCACTGCTGGTGGATGTAGTACGGTAGGCCCCTCTTTACTGCTCTGCAAAAGATTAGAGTGGAACCAGGAAACAGATTGCTTTTCTGTATTTGATGGGGAGTCATAAAGGGAAGCAAACCCTGCAGCGTCAACTCAGGTGCAACGGGGCAAGAGTTGGCATAGTGGGCCCGGTGCTGTGGCTTAGAAGGTGAAACTTCCTCCTGCAGTGCCGGCATCCCATATGGGCACTGGTTCTAGTCTCAGGTCCTCTTCTTCTGACCCAGCTCTCTGCTATGGCCTGGGAAAGCAGTGAGGATGGCCCAAGTGCTTGGGCCCCTACACCCACGTCGGGGACCTGAAGGAAGCTGCTGGCTCAGCCCAGCTCCAGCTATTGTGGCCATTTAGGAAGTGCACCAGCAGAGGGAAGATCTCTCTGTCTCTTCTTATCTCTCTTTCTCTGTAACTCTGCCTTGTAAATAAATAAATAAATAAATCTTTTTTTTAAAAAAAGCACCTTCTTGATAATAAAAATTGAACTAAAAAAAAGAGTTGCCGTAGTGTGTTCCGCATCACCCTAAGTGTCACCCAAGGAGGTGACCCAGGCAAGCCCTGGAAGTCCTGGCGAGCACTGCTCTGGTGAGCTGGCTCCAGCTCTGCCTGGCCTGACGCAGCAAGCCCTGGGGGCTTTATTTTTTTCAAGGACTTAGCTAGTGGACAATTACTGTTGTTAGAATGTTATTATTCCCATTCCCTATACAGGAAATGTTGACAGCAAATGGTTTAATGACTTGCTCCAAATTTCATAGCATACCAAGATTATACTTAGAGAAAAAAATAGCTGGAATTTCTTAATTTCAAACCCATGCTCTAGCCAGGAGACTCAGCTCTAAATAGACATGCTTTAAATGCACAGTAGGAAAATTGCAGAGAAATCATGTTGCAGAAGCTAGTGTTTTCTAGAACTTTTCCATGGAAGCTATGGAAGCTCACTGCTAATATTTGAACTCCCTTATGTCTGCACAAACTGTCTAGGAGGTGATACGTCATTGTTTTCTGAGGTGCAGAGAGGTCGATAGCTCAGCCAAGACAATTCTAGAGGCAGAACTATGACTGGAAGTCTGAGGTCTTCTGATTCTAGGCAAGGCTTTTCCCATGATGTTGAAAACCACCTGGGGCTGGCGCCGTGGCTCACTTGGTTAATCCTCTGCCTGTGGCGCCGGCATCCCACATGGGTGCTGGTTCTGGTCCCGGCTGCTCCTCTTCCAGTCCAGCTCTCTGCTGTGGCCCAGGAGGGCAGTGGAGGATGGCCCAAGTGCTTGGGCACCTGCACCCGTGTGGGAGACCAGGAGGAAGCACCTGGCTCCTGGCTTCGGATCGGCATAGCTCCGGCCGTAGTGGCCATTTGGGGGGTGAACCAACAGAAGGAAGACCTTTCTCTCTGTCTCTCTCTCTCACTGTCTATCTGTCAAATAATAATAATAATAATAATAATAATAATAAAAACCCACCCGGGGTGAGTTCTGAGCCACCATCACATACCTGTGCCGATTTTGTGCTGTGCTGTATGGATTTGCTTACTTGGAACTATTTCCTAGAAGCCCCTTCTCTGCACACTTCTGGGTTAAAGTTGGCCAAAAGAGAAATATGCATAGGATTTGGAAGATGGAAGTACACAATAGGCACTACTCTGAAGACCACTTTGGTTTGATGTGGTGGCAGGCAGATGCAGGGTGCTGGTGGGTTCCAATCTGTCCTTGTTCCTTTTCTTAACATATTTATTTGGAAGTTGAGAGAGGGAGGGGAGAGAGATATATTTCTCATCTGCTAGGTCACTTCCCAAATGCCTGCAACAGCCAGGGCTGATCCAGTCTGAAGTCAGGAGCCTAGAACTCAATTCAGCTCTCCCACCTATTTGGCAGAGACTCAAGTGCTTGAGCTAGGGTATGCATTAGCAGGTAGCTGGATTCAGAAGCACAGCTTGGACTTGAAGCATGCGCTCCAATATGGGAGGTGGGTATCCCAAGTGGCTTCTTAACCATTGCATCAATGACCTGACCCATGCCCCTACTCTTTCCCATTCCATGTGTAACAATTCTTCCCATGACCAACAGTGACCCCAGGCCCACCACCATTTGCAAAGGCAATAGTTTCCTGTAGAATTTCAGCATCTCTAATGCCACAGCCCCAGTCCAGGAACTGAATGGGCCTGGCTGCCTGTATCTCTCAGCACACTTTGGTCCTCACACCAGTGCTTCAGGGGGACAACACAGTAACTGATTCTCTAATTCTCCATCATGTACCCTTCCCTCCCTAGCTTCTCCCATGAGCATCTAATCCAACTATAACCTTTAATTTTTACACATGGTTCTGCTTCCCCAGCTGATCTCCTACTGATAGAATAACCAACACTTTGCACTATGGGAGCTGCAGAAGAAATAAGTCTGTAATCTCAAGGGGCTTGCAACTCACAGAGGAGAAGGAGCATTTTAACCCAGCCAGCTGGGGACTCATGGCAGCTTGTGGTAAGGTGATAAATGTAAATTGCGATCTTTTTTTTTTTTTTAAAGATTTATTTCTTTATTTGAAAGGCAGAGAGGCAGAGACAGAGATAAGTCTTCTATTCACTGCTTCACTCCCCAAATGGCCTCAACAGCTGGAGCTGTGCCAATCCAAAGCTGGGAGCCAGGAGCTTCTTCTGGATCTCCCAGACGGGTACAGGGGCCCAAGCTCTTGGGCCATCCTCTGCTGCCCTCGCAGAGACCTAGATCAGAAGTGGAGCAGCCAGGCCTCCAACTGGCACCCGTGTGGAATTCCAGTACTGCAGGCAATGGCTTTACTCGCTGTGCCACAGCCCTGGCCCCTGCAGTGCAATCTTGCAGCCTGAAGTGTCCCCTATCTTTTGGTGTCAGGGGTAGGAACTGATGGGCATGGACACAGTTGGTGTTCTGCATGACTGGTGGCTCCACTGAGAGCCGAGTGGATGCAGACTTCTTTCTCTATTCCAGGTCTCGGGCCCCTTATCAATACGAGAATGGAAAGAAAGTTTCTGACATATTGGATGAAAATGTGGCGTGCAGATGGAAACAAATGCTGACATTGAAGATTTCCCCTCCAGCCAACAGAAATTTCCCCTGCCCACCACACTTGGGTAACTTGAGTTCTGGAATTCCAACCTTGGTTAACCCAAATCCACAAATTTGCAGGAGTTACGCAGTGCAGTGAGAGCACTGTTTTTCTATTATGCCTTCCCAATGTGTTCTGTCCTGAGTCGACACCACAGAATTTATTTTCCCCACAAGTTTAACTCTCTGCATGTTGGTCACCTTTTGATGGATACGGAAAAGCAGATAAATGTGTGCTTCCCTGTTTTTCTCACAACTTGGTTGGAAACTTCCCCACTCGGTCTTGTTGCCTCCTTTCATTAGCCCTCACTTTCTTTCTATTAGAAACAGTTAGGAATACTCACCTGTGCAGGGAACTGTTAGCGTCCTGTGCTTGCCACCACATCCCAGTGAGGTCTTTGAATAGAAGGTGATACAGAAGGACAACAGCAATCTGGCTGTACATCCCCAGGAGAAGTTCAGGCTGCGGGCCTGGGCAGAGCAACTTCTAGGGGCTGCTTGTGAGCTGGGGTTTTATTCTGCATGCACAAGTCTGCATGCCTGGAGTGTTGACTCTGGAGCTCTGAGCATGTGATACTGACATCATAGGTAGCTCAGAATGAGGATTTATTCTTAGCTGTGACCCTTGCCTGCTAAATGATCTGAATTTTAAAAGAAAGAGGAAGGGGAGAAGGAATAGAACGAGAGAAGGCAGTGGAAGAGTGGGAAATTCCTGCTTGTTTTTTTTTTCTTTAAAGAATTATTTTATTTATTTGAAGGACAGAGTTACAGAGAGAGGTAGAGCCAGAGAGAGAGAGAGAGAGAGAAGTCTTCTATTCCGCTGGTTCACTCCCCAAATGACCACAACGGCCAGAGATGAGCTGATCGGAAGCCAGGAGCCAGGAGCTTCCTCCGGTCTCCCACATGAGTGCAGGGACCCAAGGAGTTGGGCCATCTTCTACTCCTTTCCTAGGCCATAGCAGAGAGCTGGATCAGAAGAGGAGCAACCGGGACTCGAACTGGCTCCCATATGGGATGCCAGCGCTGCAGGCTGGGGCTGCCCCACAGCACAGGAACCCCTGTTTGTTCTCAGACAGCACCCAAGGGAAACTCCAGGATGGATTTCTTGTTTCTTTTCAACCAGAGAGGTGAGGGTGGAGAAATGCATGGACTGTGGCAGTTTGCTTTCTAATGAGAATTCTGCCCTTCCCTGCAGTCATTTGTTTTGACAATGTGGCTGTAACAGTCTATGGTAGAGGTAGTGATCTTTTTCAGATATTGAGCCATAGGCTTGTATCTCATTTGTCCTGGACTTCACAAGATGGTGCTTCCAAGCCATCTGTCCAATCTGTCATGGCATTTTATGGGCTGACATTCAAGGGGTTCCTGCCCACTCTGTGTTTCCACGTTGTGTCCAGACAAGGCAAAGAGTAGGTTCAGCTGGAGAGCTGAGTCTGTTGCAGAAGGAGAGGAAAGGGCAGAGTGTGCTGCAGGGTGGACAAGGTGGCCACTCAGAGAAGGACAGTGACCCAGCAGGAATCTGAACCATGGCATGAGGACAGACAAGGGACCAAGATCCAAAGACACTGCTATTCACTGTTATGCAAGTGTGGCTGACATTGCTGAATTGTAAAATGTGATCAACCATTTTGTTGTGGTTCAGGGACACAGCTTCTACTCCAGCTCAGGGGTCCAGAAACCTCATCCCACTGGGGACCATCTGGGGCAAATCAGGACAAACATGAGAATATCAGCCAGGATATCTGGGTTCTAGGCCAAGCATTGCCACGAAATCACAATGAGACTTCCGCACATCATCCCTCCCTGCAACAGAGGAGATTGAGCCAGGTTAGGAGGCTCCAAGGAAGAGATCCCCACGCTTGCCAGGGGTCTAAACTGGTAGCTTCCTGAAAGTCAGGTTGTCCTGGGCTTCTGACCCTGCCCTTCCTCCACCCAGGTGGTCTCTGCAAATCCCAGTGTGGGAGAAATTACCCTCAGCAGGAGCCTGCTGTCCCAGTCTCTGTATACAACATGTGCCCACCCCATCCCCAGCATCCAGTGATTGCAAGGCCTCAAAAGTCCAAAAGTAGCATGTTTACCTCCTACCCAAACATGCAAACCCTAAAACTCATTTCAGTGACTCTGAGACTTTGCTCAGTCATTGGACCTGCTGATTCTATGAGAGAATGGGTTTACAGACTATCTGTGTGGCAATCGGTCACAAGCCTTATAACCATGCGGAGGTGAGCTGCTTCAACTGCTGAGACACCTGTGCTACACATCATCAGAGACCCAGCCCTTTTCTGTCTTGCTGCTCTACCACATTCCAGACTCATCTTTGTCTGCTCTGGGGAGGGGAGGTCCAGGGTCACCACCGTGCCAGTGTGTGTCCTGTGGGAAGGGACAAGAGGGAAGGAGCTCTTGACAAGCAACTTGTTTTTAAGCAAATGGTGTGGGAATTACAGATTTCACTTGTGCTCCCAGTCTGTTGGTTAGAACATAGTGCTAGCCACACTGAATCCTAAGAAAGGCTGCACAAGGAAGTCTCTGGTTGGGAGCGATGTGTGGGCTAAAACTCCATTACTGTGATGGAGGGGAGCAATGATTTGGGGAGAGAGCCCATTGTCTGCCACCACAATCAACTCGAGGACTATACCGACTGGGGTGGGGGTTCCTGGACCTCTGACCATGCATCAAAAATGAGAGAAGGGGAAAGGAAGAGGGTGTCATTGTTGGGAGCTATGCATTTACTTTCTTTTTTTGAGAGACACATGGAGAGAGCTCTTTTCCACTTGGTTGACTTACCAAATGCCTACAAGGGTCAAAACCAGGAGCAAGGAACTCAAGTCTTCCATGTGGAGGGCCGGAACCCAACTCCTGGAGTCCTCACTGCTGCCTCCCAGGGTGTGCACTAGCAGGAAGCTGGAGCTGGGAACGGAGCGCAGTCACCCCGGTGTGGGGTGTGGGGTGTGGGGTGTGGGGTGTGGGGTGTGGGCCTCCTCACTGCCAGGCTAAACGCCTGCCCCAGGAGCTCCATGTTCATCTGAGGAAAAGGAAACCATTGGCAGATGCCCGCTTGCCTTTTCTCTCTAGCTTCAGCCCCATCTATTTTAAGGACTTTTGCCTTGAGATGAGCTGCTCCAGTGACTCTCACACTTTTAAAAAGGAAGTTGCATGTATATAAAAGAGGAATCTTACACGTGATTGTGTTTATAAGCAAAGAAAACAGAAGACTGCTCTGGTTGAAACAGAGAGCACCCAGAGCTCTGGCCGCCGGCTCACGGTCCGTGCTCTCATTGTTTTGGCATCTTAGGGGCTGACACTGACAGCCTTCATGTCAGCTTGAAAGTTCTACCCACCCCAGAACAGCAGGGCTCCAAGGAACCCAACTTGAGAACGCCCGAACTCCGAGAGGCAGGGCCCAAGGCTACTACCAAGGACGATGTTATCAAAGCAAAACTGGGGCTGCTGTGATGTGAGCCTTGCAGTGATGAGATCATGCTCCAGATCAGACACATGGCAAACATGACCTGACTCAGGTTCTGGGTTGTAGCTTTATTATTACAGGAGCCTGTTTGTCCTTTAATTTTTATAATATTGAGTAGCTATATATTATGATTGATTTAGTTAACATCACAAACTCCAACTAGAACATGGCTACTGTGGGAAAATCTCATTTGCTTTAGGAGGTGCTTTCATGGAGAAACAGGGCCCACCCTGGCTCAGAGACAGCCACAGGACAGCACTTCATAGACCTGGGCCTAGGGCATGATAGGTGCAAACTGGTGGGTGTTCATTATTATCAGCACCCAGTGACCAAGGTTTTTTTTTTCTCCTTTTAGGGTTAAATACCAAAGAAAAATAATATCTGAGAAAGAAAAGATCCAGAATTGCAGCTCGAGATTAAATCATGGATAACATCAAAGGAAGCTTCTTGGCCGGCGCCGTGGCTCTCTAGGCTAATCCTCCGCCTAGCAGCGCCGGCACACCAGGTTCTAGTCCCGGTTGGGGCACCGGATTCTGTCCCGGTTGCCCCTCTTCCAGGCCAGCTCTCTGCTGTGGCCAGGGAGTGCAGTGGAGGATGGCCCAGGTGCTTGGGCCCTGCACCCCATGGGAGACCAGGAAAAGCACCTGGCTCCTGGCTCCTGGCTCCTGCCATCGGATCAGCGCGGTGCGCCGGCCACAGCGCGCCGGCTGCTGCGGCCATTGGAGGGTGAACCAACGGCAAAGGAAGACCTTTCTCTCTGTCTCTCTCTCTCACTGTCCACTCTGCCTGTCGGATTTAGCCCACTGCACCACAACACTGGGGAAGCTTCTTGATGCTGTGATGTGGTGGGTAAAGCTGCTGCCTGCAGTGCTAGCATCCCATATGGGTGCCACGTTGAATTCCCACCTGTGCCACTTCCAACCCAGCTCCCTGCTAATGCGCCTAGAAAAACAGTGGAAGATGGGCCAAGTCCTTGAGCCCAGAAGGTTCTAGCTCTTGGCTTTGGATGGGCCCAGCTGCAGCCATTGTGGCCATTTGGAGAGTGAACTAGGGGATGAAAGATCTCTCTCTCTCTCTCTGTAAACTCTGCCTTTCAAATAAATAAATCTTTTAAAAAAGAAGCCTCTAGAATATATAGGAGTCTATAATACCAGAGCAGAAGAGTGAGACACTCAGTTGAGGGGTAGGTGTTTGGCCTACCGGTTAAGATGCTGGTTAAGATGTCAGTATACGATTTCAGAGTTCCTTGGTTTGATTCCTGCCTCTGGCTCCTGATTCTGGTTTCCTGTAATGCAGACCTGGGGAAGCAGCAGTGAGGGCTCAAGTGATTGGGTACCTGACACTCACCTGGGAGACTTGGATTATGATTCGACTTCCAAGTTCAGCCCAGCCCAGTCATGACCCATCAGGGTCATCTGGGGAATAGAACAATGAATGGGAATGCTCTCTCTCTCTCTAAGAAAGAACAAAAGATACTGAATAGAGGTAAAAAAGAAATGAGCTAGGGAATGGGGAGGGAGGCTGCTGTTCCTCAGGCAGTGTCAAGGAGAAAGCTTGACCATCCGTGTCCCCACCTCCAACCTTAGATGTCTTCAGCAGCTAATACGCCTTCATGAAAGACAGAAAAGGGTGGCAGGCCTTGCTGAGAGAGGGAAGAATCCCTGACGCAGGTCTCTTCTTGACTAGGGGAAACAGAAGGCTTCCACAGCAAAACAGGAGGATAAGGCCACAGTGTTCCCCCCACACCCTCTCAGATCAGATCAATTTCCTTGACTCCTAACCCATTCCCAAAGGAATGATCTTCTCATTTCAGCCCTGAGTGGAATGTGCAATCCCACTGAATGTGATGCAAATTCTTCCTCCCTTGTAAAAACACTCAAAAGAAAAATGGGCAAAAGACAGGAAAAGGCATTTCACAAAGGGGGCAAGTAAATAATCCAAAAGATATCTAAGCTAATTAGGCCTCAGGGAACTGCTAATGCAGACACCAGTGAGCTGTTCTTTTAAGAATGCTGACTCTCTGCTATGGCCTGGGAAAGCAGTGGAAGATGGCTAAGTACTTGGGCCCCTGCACCCACGTGGGAGACCCAGAAGAAGCTCCAGGCTCCTGGCTTCAGATTGGTGCAGCCATCTGGGGAGTGAACCAGCAGATGGAAGACCTCTTCCCCCTAACCACCCCCCGCCTTTGCCTCTTTGTAACTCTGCCTTTCAATAAAATAAAATAAAAGTCTTGAAAAAAAAAAAAAAAAGAACACTGACAACACCAAGTCCAGGAGAGGATGTGATACAGGGCCTCGCACATTCCTGGTGGGGGTGTAAGTTGGTATAACCACTTTTGGAAGCATGTTGTCCTTTTGGTATAAAGCTCAACATGCATATATTAGGACTTAGCAGTTTCGCTCCTGAGCACTAGGTCAGGCTTTTTTTCCAACATGTATTTGTCCATGGCTTGTAAAACCTATTTGCTGGTGCACAACTAACCTTTTAAACAAATGAAACAGAAAACTTGGAGGGCATTGTTGGTAGTAAGGGTAAATAGTTTTAGTGCACAAATTGTTGGTTTCATACATGTGTGCACAAAGTGTGTACAGGTAATGTGAAATTTTTATTGTACATGGAAAATATATGTATTAGTCTGCTTTCTATTGCTATACAAAAAGACCTGAAGCTAGATGCTAATAAAGAGAAGAGGTTTGTTTAGCTCCCCATGTTGGAGGCTAAAAGTCCAGACAACATGGTGCAGGTTCTTGAAAGCGTGCCCCTGGCTGTGCCATATCCTGCTGGATGGCTTCGTGCTGGGAGCTTATGGGAGAAGGAGAAGGCACACATGAGACAGGAAGCCAGAGATGGAGAAGGAACAGTCTTGCTCTTTTAGAACAAGCCATCCTCATGAGAACTAACTGAGGTCCCAGGAGAACTGGATTAATTCTTTCCAAGAGCAGTGCCTCGAATGATGCAATCACCTTCCACCAGGCTCCACCCACTTCAGACTCCACCACCTCCCAACATCACCACCCTGGGGGCCAAGCTGCTGCCTTTTTTTTGTTTTTGTTTTTGACAAGCTGCACCAATCCGAAGCCAGGAACCAGGTGCTTCCTCCTGGTCTCCCATGCGGGTGCAGGGCCCAAGCACTTGGCCCATCCTCCACTGCCTTCCCAGGCCACAGCACACAGCAGAGAGCTGGACTGGAAGAGGAGCAACTGGGACAGAATCTGGCGCCCCAACCGGGACTAGAACCGGCGCTGCAGGTGGAGGATTAGCCTAGTAAGCTGAGGCGCCAGCTGGGGCCAAGCTTCTAACACATGAACTCTTGAGAAACAGACCATGTCCAAACTGTAGCTTCCTGTCCCCGCCCCAGAGGTTCATGTCCATTTCACAAGGTAAAATGCATTCAATTCGGGCCAGTGCTGTGGCGCAGTGGGCTAAAGCCCTGGCCTGTAGGGCTGGCATCCCATATGGGCACCAGTTCAAGTCCCAGCTTCTCCACTTCAGATCCAGCTCTCGGCTATGGCTCTCTGCTATGGGAAAGCATTAGAGGATGGCCCAAGTGCTTGGACCCCTGCACCCATGTGGAAGACCCGGAAGAAGCTCCTGGCTTCAGATCAGCTCAACTCTGGCCGTTGCAGTCATTGGAGGACTTACCAGAGTATGAGCATCAATTATGAACCGTGGAACTTGTGGTGGAAAAAGTTTTTGTATCATAATATTACAAGTTGAACTGTATCCTCCTCAAATTCTTATGTTCAGAATTCTAACTCCAGGGGCTGGTGTTGCAGAGCATATTAAGCCACCGCCTGAGGCACAGGCTGTTTCATTCCTGATCCAGCTCCCTGCTAAGGTGCCTGAGAAAGCATCAGAAGATGGCCCGAGTGCTTGGGCCCCTGCCACCCACATGGAAGATCTGGAAGAAGCTCCTGACTTCAGCTTGGCACAGACTTGGCTGTTGTAGCCATCTGGGGAGTGAATCAGCAGATGGAAGATTTCTCCCTCTGTCTCTGTCTCTCCCTGTCTCCTTCTAATTCTGACTTTCAAATAAATAAAATAAGTCTTTAAAAAAAAAAAAAAAAGCCCTAACCCAGTACTTCAGAATTTCTTATTTGGAAGCAGAGGCATTGTAGATGTAATTAAAGTAAAATGAGGTCACTCCAGGTAGGGTGGGCCCATCCAACAGAACTAGTGTCCTGATGAGAAGGGAAATATGGGTGCAGATACACACACAGGGGAATACCATGTGAAGAAGAAGGCAGAAATAAGGTTAACGTAGCAGAAGGCAAGGAACAGCAAAAGCTTCTAACCAAACCCCAGAAGCTAGGGGAGAGACTAGGGGTGGATTCTCCCTCACAGCCTCGAAAGGAACCAACCAGCCAACACCGTGATCATGAACTTCCAGTCTGCAGAACTGGGAGACAACCCCTTTCTGTTGTTCTAAGCCATCTAGTATATGGCATTTCATTACAGCAGCCCTAGCAAGGTCATATGTCTTGGTTCTTTACAATTTAGGAAATGCTTAATCTCCTGTTTAAGTATTAAATATAGCACTTATGAAATCTACTGGGTTGCCATCAACATTTGAAATCTTGAGACCTGCCAAAGATTCTACTGTGTTTTTTCATTGGCTGTTCAATGTCAAATGAATCACTCACCCCTTTGGGCTGTGTTCTCAATATGGGAAGTGGTCATGATCCTAATATTTATCCATTTATGTCTCACAGTGTTCAGTGAGCCTAGTGGAAGAATACAAGAAGTCTTCAGAAAGTTCATGGAAAAAGGCAGCTTTGAAAAAACTATATATGGACTTAATTTTTTTCCTCACCAAAAGAAACATATCTCTTAATTCCATTTTCTACAGATTTTTTGAAGTACTTGTATACATGGGAAAATGTTTTGTAAATTGTAAAGCACCACATTACTTTGTAAAATATTCCATTTTTCATCCATTAAAGTAGTGATTATTGCTCCTAGTTCTAATGTCCCATGCATATCAGCATGTCAAATGCTGGATTCTCAAATATCACCAGCACACCTGTTGACTCAACAAAGCCAGGTTCAAGGGGAGAACTACCTTCTTTGATAAGGTCTTGGAGGGGAAAAGGTAAGGTTGAAATTTATTGAGAATTTGAAAATTTGGCTTAAGGCAGGTCTTTCAGACCGGGGCTGCCATATGATTGGGTATGGATTGTGATATAATGTTTTAGTATTGATGGAGACAGCAAGGTGAGAATTTTCAAACAGTTTTAAAGAGTCTTAGGACATGAACTAATGGTGCTTTTGGTGGAGTTAGATGTTCTTATAGAAACAGTAATGCTATTTGCCTGGGAAAACCTCTGGGAATAGCAAAGCAATTCTCATAAGCACAATATGATAATAAAAGCAGGTTCATGTAGACAGAATGCAGTTCTTGTCCTTGTGTTCAAATAGTATGGGAATGTGCACAAAGTGGGTAACATGCTGTAGTTAGTGGCTGGGGTCTTTCCCCTTGCTGGTGGGTAGGCTCAGCTTGCTTTTCTCCATCTGGGTTCTTCCTCCCAAGAACAAGTTGCCTCTTTTGGTCAGAACTCTGTCATCTTCATCCAGAAATCCATTTCTTCCCAACTGTACACTTCTGGCCAACTTTGTTTAAGAAAGCTACATAACATCACAGGTTCCTCACTATTGCTAAGAGTTGTTTTAGGTTAAGGAGACTTCAATGCAGGTGAACAACGTTTAGTAGATAATTCTGGAGGAAAAGGTCTTCTGAGGAGGGCCAGCAGGTGCTGTTCTCTTCCCATCACCTCCACACCTGT